TGATCATCGAGTTAACGGCACCATGGCCTCGTATTGGAGGAAAGTCTCAATAACCTTACTATATAACGAGATAAAGCTGACTTCATGATGCCATTGAGTTCCATCTAACCTTGATCTCCAAAAGACATCATTTAAGATCGACTGTCAAACCGCTTTCTACCCACATTTATGGTGCTATTGTTGCTAACGCGGCGAGTGTGTACTTTTCATTGCAATTGCCTGCATCTATCGCTGCGGCATTTGTATCGCATTGCTGATTGACTAACAGTCTCGAGGCGCATTGATTACTGACGCCACTGTCCTGGGTAAAAATGAAGGGGATGTAATTAAATCGTAGTTTTGTAGGCTGTTAGCCACCCACCAATCTACGGCAAGCACACATTAACCATTCAAGCGCGTTTTCACTAATCCGAATCGGAGTACGGGCAATCCTGCGATCAAACTTAATGCTTACTCTTCCCATGACCAAAGGCTTAGTTTGTCCGCGAGATTTAACTGCCACGTAGTAGGAAACTGATCTCGTCCTGAATTGAGTGCAATGTTAATATTCTCTGGATCTAATGGATCTATCATGCACTAGGAGATTATGATATTTATCAGGTAGCTGAGCTACCGAAGCCCGCATGTCCCGAATTCAGCGTCGATTAGACCATAATGATTGGAACTAAGGTCCCTCTAATTTTGAGATGCGCAGCGCAACGCAGTCAAATAATATTTTGGCCTAGATGATGCTGATCGACTTTCCTCTTCCGATTCTTCATTGGTATACACTGTATAGACGAGAAAAAAGCGAAATTATTTGTTAGATAAATCAAGGTGGAACAGTAAAGATCTTGCACCTGGTAACAATGAGTTCAGCCGAAATTTATGGCTGTAGGAGGAAAAGCTAGGTCAGAGCATTTAGAGAAATATAGTGCAAAAGGCACAAGCCGGAGATAAGGTAGCTATACAGATAAGAATAGGAGACCTGATATAGGGAAAGGACCAGAGGGGTAAAAGAAGTAATAGAGAAGGATAAATGATATGCAGCCAGAGGGGACGAAAAAATTAAGTCAGAGATTCTAACTGGCTGGCTAAAGGAAGGCGTGTACAAAAGCGATAAGGTTACCCAGCTCCTGCCGGGATATTATAATGCCGCTTAGCAAACATTATTGATGAACAGGTACCTAAATACTGGCAGTTGACGAAAGAATAGACGATAATTGCATGTAGATATGGGGCTATTGGAAGGAAGAGGCGTCTGGTACGGGAGTGGAGGCCTGAAATTTGATCATCTCTCGCTTGAATTCTGTGACATCATCCCAGAGGCCGGCAGCGTGCGTGTTAAGGGGACTATCGTTATTTGGTTCTGTAAAAGTAAATTAGGAAGTCAGTTTGAGTTTACATACAGTGAACAACGTAAGAGCTATCTATATGTATGTTGCCACTAAATGACAACATTTATAGAATCTTAACGAACCCACAGCAGGTGGTTAAACCCAAATTATTCCCCTTTCCTCTCAACATGCACCCATAAAACCTCGTTCACACCAGGAAAAATTAGCTGGTAAGGCAAATGCAAAAATATGATAAAAATTAATTAAAAAGATTTAGCACCGAAGACCATTCATATTAATTAACCATTTATTTCAATATTTGAAAGCATACTTTAGGCCTCGTGGTCCGGTTTGAATAACCCGGATGAGTCGATATTTAAAAATGACGATACATCGTAACAGGCCCGCACGCTAACTGGCTAGGTGAAGATCTCAGGAACATATCGTTAAGTATATCAGGCTTTTGATGGCGCTAGTAAACATACTATATAGGTGAGCAAGTTAGATACGGCTTAAATTAGTCCTAAACAAGAGTTACTCTTGAGACATGTTAAGGCCCCTTTACTGAGCAAAGGAGATTATTTCTAAAAAAGTATAGAAATAATATAAAAGATAATTATATATAAAGCGCTCTAACAGATACAAATACTGTAAAACTTTGAAATATCGAAAGTACGATAATAAATATCTGTGGCGCTGCATGATAGAAGAAATATGAGCCAAAGGTTGTCATCGGATATGGATGGGATTACCTGCTAAAAGACTGCGAATGGACACTAGGATGCTGGTTACTGTGAGGAGAGCTGACCACTTTTCTTTGAGAATGTCCAAACAGATGTTTCCGTGGCCATCCACATTTGGGTGGTAGCAACGAGAAAGGAAACGAACGGTTGGGGGACTGTAAGGATATCCAGAGCCGAATTCTAAAGATAGTCGATATACTTGACCCTGGTAAACCTTGAAGTTAAAAGACAATATAGTAGCAATAAACACGCAATAGGGTAAGAGTAAAGTAATTTTACATTTAAAAATGTCATAGTGGCAGTGTGGCCAATAAAAATACACTTTGCTACCAGTTTTTGGGCTCCAAACCTACATTAGATCACTGGAGAAAAATACCAAGGCCGATTACTGGACAAATACAGTGTAACATAAATTCATGCAGGCGATGAAAGTTAATTTCCGTTGCAGAACAGTAGATAAAGATGCCTTCACATTGAAGAGATTGCAAAAACGAAATGATAATCGACCATTTTGATGGATAATTCACCATTGTGCGGATAATTTGCCCACGAATTTATGAATGTCTGTTAATTAGGCTATAAGCAATTTGTTATACTTAAAGTCTATTGGCGAATACAACTATCCCAGTGCAGAATTAAATTAGTGGGGGAAGACGCAAAATCATATTTCTAAGAGACCTTCTAATCTGGACAACCAGCTTAGAGCTGCTTTCATAGGCATCTAATATTAAAGAGCAAAATGGACGCCGATTTGACTTAATGAGGATGGCCACTGAGAAATGATTTAATCTAAGATTAATTATAAAGGACCCCAAATATTAATCAAAAAGGCATGTGAAATTTATATTATTAAATAGATCCTGATGATTTTCATCTGACAAAGAGATGGCAAGAGCCAAATGATGAAAAGCCTGCAGGCGTCGAAAAATTAACAATGGAGCCGCAAAAGTACCATCCTAAATGTAAAGGCCAAACATCTGATTATTCTGGAGCTTACTGTATCCTCTGGACCGGCTAAAGTGGCGACCCACTTGTTGATATTTTCACCTTCTGGAAATGCTGATATTCCTTTTTCACCAGAGGTCTGAAAATCGAGCCAAACAGAAAGCTGGTATCATAAATGAGATCAAGCAGTTCTAATAAAGAGCATCATGGTAATATTAAGTAAAATAGCAGTATAAAATATATACAGGATATCTTAACATGCAAAACAAGTATCCTATGGTGATAGAATACCAACGAATAAATACAATTCAATGAGGTGAACAAGGCGGTACTGCTTAAACGATCTGGTATCGAGCACCAACTCATTCAAGCATAGAGCTAGCAAGGTATTAGCACATGTTACCAAGTTACAGGAAGAGCTCTAATGCAAATAATCGCATATGGTTCAAGAATCAAGCTAGCATAAGAGAAACATTTTGGAAAGATCACAACTAACCTCATAGGGTGAAAAGTAAGCAATGATTGAAACCTTACTGACCAGGGTTAGCAAAAAATAACACAGTGAAAAAGCTATAGAAGAGGAGTACGATGAGGGATAGGTGCACAAAAATAAAAGTAAACAAGAAATAACAACGAAAACTTAGTGAAATAATTACATACCATTAGGTCGAAGAGTTCCTTGTTTAGCCTAAGAAAGAGTAGTGATAGAAATATGATTACCTCTGATGTACAGTATTATTGGCCATAGGGATGAAGAATTAGAAGTTTAAAGAGTACAGAATGGAGAGTTGTAAGATTCGACTTGTATATCTAATTAATTTTATAAAAACGTTATAAATTAAATTATTTATATTAATTATAAAATAAAAACTGCATATAATATTTGTATATTTAAAGTAAAAAATATTATTTATTAAATAAATAAATTAAAATTTGTTTATCTATTAAAGAAATTACTATAGCGACGGTATTTTAGTTATTCAGCGCTAGTTGCATCCATCTCACTTGTCATGACCTTTGTCTAATATTCGTCACTTTGGATAATTTGCATATTGGCCTTCTACTTTTGCTTCGAAATCTACAAAAAAGTATTTTACGCCGGATTTACGGTTAAAATTGTGTGTTATTAAAATATTACCATATGCATGAATTTAAATATTGATGGAGCATATTAGATTTTTCC